CTTTTATTCCATGGCTCCATAGACTGCCACTTGAAAACAGTCATTTTCTGCCTCCAGATAGGCTCCGCCCACAAAAAACGTCATCCCTGTTTCAGATCTGTAAGACTACCCCACTCTCTAACGTCAATTTCGTTGAATAACAGTGCTTATTGCTGGGTGACAAGCGCTTTTAATAAGCGTAGAACATTTTGAAAATTACATCTAATCAATATAATTTATAATCTTTTTAAACCTAACCATTTTGTACCGTATCCGTTAAATTCTCTAGCTGTAAAGGCCATCTCTCCCGGGTTTTCTGCAACCATGATGCGCGCGCATCCTGAATGTTTACAAACCGATAATTGGTCTATAGTTTTGCATTGTTTATGGATGCTCAAATCGGACAAACCGAGAAACCAGAAGGAGCTTCTATCATGTACAAAAATGTGTTGCTCATAAGGGGGGAAAAGTCAAGAATTTGACTGAAAAACACTGGAAAAATTGGTTTGTAAACCTGCGTCTGCGGTCGGGAGGAGCGAAGCCGGATAATGCTCGTGTGTGCAAATGGTTAATATAAGATAATAATATATTAAAATATTAATAAAGAAATATATAAATAGATACAGGGTGACACTGTCAGAATTCACTGAATGCTACTAGGGTTTAGGTGATGCAGATCCAACGACAAAAAAAAAAAAGAGTCATATCATAAAAACCCCACGAGCCAGTAGGCAGCAAAGTTCCTTGAGACGGCACACAAAAATAGATAGAAAAAGAGACAAAAAAAAAAAAAAAGTTACAGGCAGTATAAAGAGGAGGATCGTCCTAGAGCAATTCTCAGCTGGATTTAAAACCACGTTAGCCAGCACACCGAGCAACTAAGCTACAACGCAGTGCAAATACATGGAAGATACAGCCCTTTCTAAGACCATTTCAACCAGACCAGCATCTAGCAACCAATAATCCGAAATCCGAAAGAAAGTGGGTGCTTACTCACGGAAGACAGATGAAACAGCCTGTTGCTTCGGTGGCGAAAGCTCACATTTGGCAGGTAACAACTTGACTGAAAGGATTCAAAGACAGTTCATAAACCGCCGTATTTAATCAAATCAAAGTAAAAAATTCTGCAGGATGAACTCAAGGAATTTAGAGTCCAAAAATGTAAATAGCACGCTTGAAAGTCCAAAATTAGGCACGAAAACAGAAGGGCAGCGGCAGTCAAAACACGCCAGCGTTCACTCAACCGGAAACCATGTGTGCACTGTGCAACAAAACCAACATACAACTAGATCCTATACCCACTAAGCAACTGAAAGAGGTGTTGCATGTAATCTGAGAACCATTTCTCACACACACACACACACACTACCAGTATACACTACCAGTTTTTGAACCGTAAGATTTTTTTATGCTTTTTAAAAGAAGTCTCTTCTGCTCACCAAGCATTTATTTGATCTAAAATACAACAAAAGCAGTAAAATTGTGAAATATTTTTGCTATTTAAAATAGTTGCTTTCTATTTGAATATATTTTAAAATGTAATGTATTTCTGTGATCAATTACTCCAGTCTTCAGTCAAAGAAAAATGTCTTGGGGGGGAAAAAAAAAAAAACTTGAAAAATGTCTACTCCGCTATTTTCAACATAATAATAATAATAAGTTTTTTGAGCAGCAAATCAGCATATTAGAATGATTTCTGAAGGATCATGTGACACTGAAGACTGGAGTAATGATGCTGAAAATTCAGTTTTGATCACAAGAATAAATTACCTTTTAAAATATATTCAAATAGAAAGCAGTTATTTTAAATAGTAAAAGATATTTCACAATATTACCGCTTTTGCTGTATTTTGGATCAAATAAATGCAGACTTGGTGAGCAGAATAGACTTCTTTCAAAAACATTAAAATCTCTTGACTGTGTTTGGCCTATATAGGCAACTTTATTTTTTCTCTTATTTCTAGCTTTTAATTGGCTAAAAAAAAAAAAAATCAGATACACTGCTGGACAATAATAACGATTTGTTTATATACCACAACCACTTTTTTTTTCATTTTTATCACAAGGTAGAAGTTTCTATACTGTAATAATTACTATGTCAATTAGCACTGCATTGTTCACATACTTTATTACCTGAAGATGACTTGAAAAACACAAATAAACCATATATTGTGGCAATCTTGTGTTTAATGTCTTGATGTTTCCAAACGTTTCTGTTTTTATTTAGTTCATACAGCGATAGCTGGACGCTTTTGTCCATATTAGGGATTTCCTGATACGACTTTCTGCACGAGAGTGCCCTTTGGCTTAGAGTATGAATGAAAAACACTGCATGAGTGTTAGTGCTCAGTGATGTTCATCTCGTCTTATTCTGGGTACGAATAAAACATCAGGTCATGCACAGACTATCCGGTCTCTTTGAATTTAAATGTATATTTATTCACACCTGCCCTTTAAAACCTCTATGCGAACACACTTGCCCGAAAAAGTGCGGGGGACAAATTTATGTGATATTAAAAGTGGGGGGTGGGGGTGGGAGACACATCCCCCGCATATTCTACGCCCATGTAATTAAGGTCTTCAGGATTACAAGAAACTTCCAAGCAGGTGTGATTTGGAGCTGGTTGGAGCTAAACTGCAGAGCTGTGGCCCCTCCAGGAATTGAGTGTGAGACCACTGCGTTAAAAGGATTGTTAGGCTGCATTATTAAATCAACCTAAACCGGGAACAGTTTCCATAACACCCAATGTACTTGTTACATCATTAGATGGATGGCATCTACGCTAATATTAGTTTGTTTCATTCTTATTCCGAGGTCACCGTAGCCACCAGATCCAGACTGTATCCAGATTAGATGGTCACTGCAGTCACCCGGATCCAGTCCATATCCAGACCAGATGGTGGATCAGCACCTAAAGATGACCTCAACAGCCCTGAATGTCAGCGGAGACCAGGACAACTAGATGAGCCCCAGAGACAGATCCCCTCCGAAGACCTCTTCACCTAGACGGCCATCAGGACAAGACCACAGGAACCAGAAGAACCAGTGACTTTGTTGCAGCCTAGAATTAAACTGCTGGTTTCGTTTGGCCAAAGGAGAACGGCACACTATTTCAACACACCATTTCCCTGTTTAATACTCTAAAGCTGCTTTGACACAATCTGCACCGTAAAGAGCGCTATACAGTGGCGTAGCCAGAATTTTATTTTTGGCTGGGCCTGGGCAAAAGCGAGCGGGCACTAGGCTAACTAACGACGGAGTCCAGTGGCGTAGAGCAAATCCGCGGCCCCCCAACCACGAACTCAATGGTGGGTGGGTTGGTTGGTTATCTGTCGCAATTAGGCATGGGCCAGTATGAGATTTTGACGGTATGATAACCTTAAGCAAAAATATCACCGTTTCACAGTATTGTCGTTACAGCTCTAAAGTGTGTTATTTTTAAATGACTGGGTAAAAAAATAAAAAATAATTTCTGCTAAACACAATATATTTTGTTTTTGAGCAACATACAGAATATTAGGAACAGTAGAATTTGTTTATTTTTTCTTTGATTTGTTTCCTAAAAAGAAGAAAAAGACTGACATCTTAATTTAACCTAAATCTGTAATTACAGTTATTTAATTTTAGTTCATTTCATTTATATAATTTAATATACATATCATTTATATCATTTCATATCATTTAGTTATATAATTTCATACACAATTTGATTTAATAATAACCCAATTTGAAGCAAAAACAATGTTCTGACTAGCTTTGTGAAATTATACTACATGCCTGAACGAAGCAAACAGCAGATGCTCTGAATGAGATGCCGATTCACTCTCTGACAGCAGGAGGCGCTTCTGGAACACTAGATATGGCGTTTCCTTGGTTACCGCTGTAAACAAAGCAGCACTGTGCTGAATGAAACCTTTAATATGTATGAACTATA